GTTCCCCGCCGCCCCCCAGCGGCCTCCCCGGCCCGGGGCGCTCCCAGGTACGGAGCCGCTCTAGGGGACCCGGTCCTCCGGGGCCAACGCTTCCCCACGGCCCTCCGCGCGCGTCGAGGGCTGCCGCTGTCTTCTCCTTTACCCCGTTCCCCGAAAGCAGTCCCCGAGGGGCCCGGTGGTTTCGGGGTGGGGACGGGCCCGGATCGGGGTTTGGAAGGTGGCTGCTGGAATCCTTTGTGCGCCCCGGCGGGGGGAGGGGCCCAGTGCGCGGTCTCCGAGTTCTGCTGTCCCGGGAGGAAGTAAAAATCGCCTCCCCTTCCCCAGCCCTCTAAGGGGAGATCTTAGGTGAGAAACCACCTTTTTTGAACTGACTCCTTCAAAAAGCAAAAAACGCCCTCGAGCATTCATTTAGGAGGCAAATATGTACCTAAATGAGCTAAAGCAAGTCTATTGTTCCTTTTTGCAGGCTCTCTGCACACATGCTGGCGATAATCTTAAATTTCCTGTGGTTCTTGTTTAACTCTAAAAACCCCGCCCTTCTCAGATGGCTACTCAGTGTATAGTGAATTACTATACAAAGGAATGAACGCATCTAACACTACTTTTTTTCCTTTCTCAGAACAAGCAAGACCCCAGAGAGCTCCACCTAGTCCACAGGATAATATCCCACAGCAGAACTCGGAGTCAGCTATGGCTAAACCCCAGGTGGTTGTAGCTCCCGTGTTAATGTCAAAGCTGTCTGTGAATGCCCCTGAATTTTACCCATCAGGTTATTCTAATTATACAGTAAGTACCCTCTTTTACTACAATTCTAGGTTAATGTTATTGGAATAATATGGTTATTAATGAGTATGCTGGTGTTTTCTATACTAACATAAAAACATGAATTCATTCAACTCAAGAGGAAACAATTGATTCAGGACTGTATTTTACAGTTATTATATTCAGGATATTAGAATGTAAGCTTGAGAGTAGGCATTCTTGTCTGTTTTGTTACTGCTATAATCCCAGCATCTACGGGGTATCTCTGGGCTGATAAATGTGATGTAGGCAAGGACCTCCTTAGTCTATAAAACTAAAATCTTTGTCCAGATTTCATGGACAACCTATAGAATAGTGGCCTGGCAAAGTTGATTTTTAACTTTGATTTTAGCAACATAGCTGAATAGTCATTGGTAGCTTTAGGGTAAATCAAAAAGTGGTTTTGATGTAGACTAATTGATGTAGTTCTTTGAATACTGAGAAGAACACATCTGGGTCCTGTTAAGTTAAAATAGAAGTGTTCCTGGTTCTAATAAACTATTTTGCAGAAATGTAGGGGTTATTGATAAATTATTTACATAGGTATAACAAACTTTTAAACTTTCAAATTCATCTTTCTTGATAATGTAACAATTTAAAAAACTGGTCACACTTTTCTTAAATAGCAGGAAAAAACTGCACAATTAGAATGGATAGAAAGCAATTTGTTATGCTAAGTAATACATAGCAATTAGTTGTAGAGATGAGTGGGTAAGGAACCATTCTAGATTGAAAAATTGATTGATAATACTTTAACATAAGTCCCATCTTTCCTATATTCTTAGTTTTATTGACATGTAATACATAGAATAGTATACATAAAGGTTAGTTCAAAGTTTCCCAAAGTGAACAACACCCAGGCAACTAGAATCCAAATCAAGAAAAGGAACATTATCAGCACCCAAAAGCCCCCTCTGTCTCCTAATCATTACTGCTCCAAGAGTAACCACTATTTTGGCCTAACAATAGTTTTGCCTCTTTTCAAAGTTTATGTAAATGGAGTTATACAGATATTATTTTTCTCATTTTATTCAACATCAAAATTCATACTGTAGCATGTAGGTTTTAAAAGTGACTTGTTTTCTTAGTATTCCATTGTGCTGCTATACCTCAGTCTCATTTGTCTATTGATCATTTGGGTAGCTTCCACTTTGGGGCTCTTATGAATAAGGCTGCTATTCTTTGCCACGTCTTGTCGGATATGCGTTTTTGTTTCTGTTTGACATATACCTAGGAATGAAATTGCTGGGACGTAGGGTCGCCAGCTTTAGTAGAGACTACCTAATAGTTTTCCTAAGAGACTGTTCCAATGTACGCTTGGAATAGTGTGTGATTTCCAGTTGCTTTTCCTTGTCCACACTTATATTTTCTCCTTTTTTTTTTTAAGTTTAGCCATTCTGGTGGGCATCTAGTTGTGGTTTTAATTTGTATTTCCTGATAACTGGTGGTGGTATACCTTTTTTTGTTACCTTTTTTTCTTCCATATTTGACAGAAATTATGGGAAAGTTGTAATCCATATTTTAGAAACTCCATGTGTCTTAGACTGCATTAGGAAAAAGCTTTGGAGCTAGAAAAGGGAAAGTATGGGCATAGCAGGAAGAGCAGTTGATTTGGGTTGAAAGGGGCCATCAATCATGTAAAGTAGAAGTGAGAACAGCTTTGGTACTTGCCAGAAAATTGTATTTGGCTCATAGAGGAAAGGAACTACTAGGGAACTGTGAGTAGTTGAGTAAATTCTTAAAGATGCTTATCTTCGAACAGCCGCAGAATTTCCCATTTGTTTGTCTCCCTATTGACTTGGACTATTTTATGATAGGAAGGATACAATTTTTTTTTTTTTTTTACAGTTCTGTACCAACCAGTTCTACATAGTTCAAGTGACTCATGGACTATAGAGCAGTGTGTCAAACTATGTGAGTCCACTTACTTTGAGCCACTGTCATCTTTTAGGCTGTCCTTGGTATCCTTTAGTAGATCAGCTCCTCCTGTGCTCAATTCTCCAGAACGGATTGCAAACTGGAAACCTGTGGCTCACATGTGTCCTGCTAGTGTGTTTTCTTTGGCTGGGTTTTTT